GACGCGATCATCCAGCGGCTCCTTCGGGGGTGAGCGCTACAATTGTTTTTATTTCAAATTGAAATACCATGCTCCATTTTTTATTTAAAATGTTAAATGATTCTTACTTAATGCTGCTCCTCTGGGCATTTTTTTAAAACAGAGGGCAGTATTTTAATTAGCAATGTAAGCTTTAATGTATTTGTTTTTTTTTTCAAATCGTTATTGGTGAACTAACCCTTTTAAACCATCCAAAATATGGATTTTCTGAAAGCAGAGACCCTGTAGAATACAATACCATTTGCAATTTCTTTATGTGGCATGGTATTAGCTTAAATGTTTTGCCCAAATTTTCAGTAACAAAATAAATTCAAATTCATTGTAGTGCACACAAACATAATTTAATACCCTCTTTTAGGTAAACTATAAAAGATGAGGTTGCATTGAATGAATAGCTACCAAACATGTCAAGACTCAATATTGCGTATGACATTTAGATGGTGAAAAACTTTGGTACCCAAATATGCCCATAGGTATTGCTTTAATAGCCTTTACTGGTTATTGGTTTAGTACTAACAGTGAATGATGGCCCTAGAATTGTTGCTCTCACTCCGGCATGCGCGGTGGTGCCTAACATCTTGCGCAATCATTGTTTTCATACATAGGCACACCCTATGGGGATGGGGGCTTTAAACTTTTTTGGGCTATTTTTTACATTTTTTTTATTTATCTTTTATTTTGTTATTGCTACTACTTAGGGGGCTGTGAAGCCCCCTATGTAATACCACAATATTAGAGACAGGTTTTCATTAATGAGATATCAGGGGTCTATTAGATCCGTGCTGCCACCAACGTATTTGTTGGTGGCAGTGAAAGTGTTGAAAATGTTGCACAACCAATATTGAGCTTTTGGAAGGAGAATGATTTTGATTTATGTTAAAGCTCCACTTAATGTTTTCGGCGGCATGGGTATAGCCATCTAAATCCTCTCGTTTTTATTTCCAGAGTGATAAACAGGCATTTTCAATGAGAGCTGGAATGTTGAATGATTTAAACAAAGTGGATCCTGCCTTACCTCTTTTTGTAATGAAAAATGCAGCTGGGTAGCTTGGTTTTCCATGCACCCAAGTACACAGTGTTAGGAAAGTGAGAGGTAGAGCAATGTGCTGTCCATGTAAAGGGCTGTAGGCAAAGCTAGGCATGGGTATTCACTGCTAGGGCTATCTACAGTGAGAACAAAGTGTTAGCGTTCTGGTTAATGGCTTTTACATTTGTGTAGAGTATTTATTTAGGGTTTTGTTTGTCTTTACAGGATCATTTTCCTTTTCCGTCCTCTCTGGAAAGATCATGCTACGTGAAATCTACTATATTACCGAAGACATGTCTATTAGGTATGTGTTGTGTTTTTTCAGCCACTGCAGTGATTATTGCTGCAGTTCATATTACATTTATTACAGGTTTTGTACCCCTTCCAATCTGTTACTGGACAGTGGAGAAGCAACACACTGATGAACCCATCTCCTTTTGCACTCTGTTCTCTCCTCTTATCAGCATGAGCACTTATCACGTGCGCACTGCAGCACAACTCACTGACTCCTTGTGTGCTGCTTCTCCCTATCTCAGGGCTTGCCCACCCCATCTCTAGACCAGATCTGGATGTGTTTTTCGCATTTGCGTTTATGTGAATTTTTGATGTGTGTTTGATGCGTTTTTTTGTTTTCCTATGCATTTCTTAAATTGGTTTTGCTTGGGTTTTCCACCACGTTCTGGTATGTTTACATGTGTCTTGTGTGTTCCAGTGTAAAAAAATGCAAACATGCTGTACTTTTTTTTAAAAAGCTCTGGAACTAAACACAATGATGTGCCTCATTTGAAACCATTGGAATTACTGCGTATGCGTTGTTGGTGGAGATAAAGAACAAAAACACACTGGTCTGGAGATTGTGTGAACAGGCCCTCTGCAGGGACTGCAAGGGGATGAAATGATGTCAAATTCAGATACACTGTTTGCGTTTATAAAATACTTAAAGTGTTTCTAAAGTCTCCGTTTTTTTGCCTATATCTAGTGCTGGCAAGCAGTAGATATAGGCAAAAGGTTTTAAAAAAAAAAACGCTTTAACAGCGGTTTAAACTTACCTCGTTATCGCTGCACGCGGCCGCCAGAGAATCCGAAACTGTTCATGCGGCCGCAAAGCATCTTGGGGCAGGCGCATGCGCAGTTCGGATTTTCGGCCGGGAGACGAGCAGAGACGCAAGGAAAGTCTATGGCCTCGTGCAGCTGCATGCAGACACCGCTGGATCAGAAGTGCCTGCAAGCAGAGAGGAGTCAGCGCTGGATCGGAGAGCCGCCGCACCGCTGGAGGGACAGATGAAAACATCAGGAAAGAAGAAGATTGGATTAAGAGACATCATTAGGTAAGTGCTAACATTAACATGGGGGGGGGGGGGAAAAATTTTTTTGACTTTAATGTCACTTTAAGTAAAGCTTCCCATAAGGGACACAGTGATAAAAACTCAGCAAGGAAATTTCCCCTTCCCTAAGCTATCCAAAACACAATTTTTAGCTCCAGTGTTTGGTGTAAACTAGTGTTCAGAGTATGCTAAAAACTAGGGATGCACCGAAATTTCTGCCGCCGATATCAGCTTATCAACATATCAGCTGAAAATGGCACTTTTGGTGCATGCCTGGTTTCTCTCCTCCCCGCTGGGCGCTGCTCTGTGTCCCCTATGACACAGCGCAGCGTTCAGCAGGGTGGAGAGAAACTGTCACAGGAGGATGAGCGTTGCGGGGGAGGAGAGCCATGTGAGCGGCCAGTGTCTCTCCTTCCACACCGCTCATCCTCCTGTGACAGATCAGGAGAGTGGTGTGGGGGCGGAGACAGCTGTCACAGGAGGCCAGGCCAGCAGTGCGGGGGAGGAGTCAGCTGTCAGAGGAGATCGAGCTCTCGTCCCCGCACCGCTCACTCAGCCTCCTGTGACAGTGAGTCAGGGTGAGGAGCGGGTACAAACAATTGGTGATCAGTGATAGCTGAGTGTTTGTAAATAATTGAGGACATAGTATGTTTACTGTGTCCCCAATTATGAATGAACAGGAAGTGCTCTACATCACTTCCTGTTCATTCATGATTGTGGAAATGGTAAACATACTATGTCCACAAGTTATGAATGAACAGGAACACTCAGTATGGAGGATTCCTGTTCATTTATATGTGTCCTCAATCTCTTTTTCTATTTTAAATGGGAAATATCAGGGGTCTGTTTAGACCCCTAATATTTCCCCGAAGCTCCCAACAGTAAAGTAAAAAAATATTTAATACAAATAAAATACTTTAAAAAAAATTTGGTTGTGGTGTGGCCTGACATTTTTTTCATTTTCGGTTTCGTTTCGGTTTTGAAAATTTCTTTTCGGTGCACCTCTACTCAAAACACATTTTGATATAATTATTATTGTGTTGTCTTTTTTTAAATATCAAATAGCATGTACCATTCTTACATCGTATAGTCCATGACAAGAGTACATGTACATACAGAAAGTAAAGGATCTTGGTCCCAAAGTCCCACGCCATTGGCAGACCCCTCCATTCCCATGCAATGTCCATTGATCTTATAGATTCGGTGCCCTGCCTTCCAATGGGTACATTTACAATATTGTTTTATTGCAGTCAGTAAATACATTCTGTACATTGTATTAAAGCCAGGTTGTCCATGTTAATGGTGACATGCATTTAACCATGAAGCTAAAAAATGTGTTACTAGCAGAAGGCTGTCTCTTTGAGTAATTGATTTGTGTCGCTGACATCTTTAGTGTTTTTTGTTTTTTCTTGGAGCATAGCCAGGTAGGCTGCCTGCCCAATGCTGCTTTATTTAATCACATAATAGTAAGATTATATGTTGGAATATTCTTATTGCTTTGGAATTCAAATGTACAATACTATTGTATTGGCTTGGATGTCCTCAGAATCCCTCAGTGAATTTTCCGAGGCAGTAAATTCGTGCTGTCGCATTTAAACAAGTAGTAGCTTGTTCAAGTGGGTCAAGCATGGGAATTGCATATATATAAATATTTGTTTTGCTCTTTACAGATAAGAGGCAAACTTATTAGCCTACCTAGACATTGTCTGCCTATTCCTATTCAGGGATTCCTATAACACTTAACCATGCCCCATTCATGTCTTTCCTACTACTGAATTTCATGCCACTAAATCATACCTTGATTGTTGTGGATCGTCACTTCTCAAGACATAAAAATAATAGTAACGGTAACAATTAGTTACCGTTAGCGTTTATTTTAACCAGATTTGGTTGTGGATTGTTTGAAGAACGTCACCAGCACACCAAATTCATTGCTGCATCAAATGTTCATTTATTGTCGTCTGTTGTCTCTTGGTAGCAAGCGCTTTCGGGCCACGCAGGCTCCCCTTTATCAGGCTCAGATGTCATCTCTGAGCCTGATGAAGAGGCCCCGAAAGCGATTGCAACCAAGAGACAGCAGATGACAATAAATGAACATTTGATGCAGCAATTAATTTGGTGTGCTGGTGACGTTCTTCAAATATCTACATGTGTTGGCGCTATCCGCAGTCATTTTGAGCACCCATCTGTATGTCCATATGGGAATCCCGGTAGGTAGTGCAGCAAGTGTCTTCCTTTTTGCTTGTGGATTGAACGCAGGAAACATTTGAAATGTTTTATATTAAGGAAGTAACTTTGTCTTTCTGAAAATCTGATATTGTAAACCAAAACCGTCTTATGCACCTAGAGATTTGCTCATGACAAAACTAGTATTACACATATCAAAGTACAGTATATCTAAAGCCAAAACTATTTTTTAGTAGCTAGAGTAGGAAATTGAACCTCTTTTTTTGATGTCTGTATTCTATTTGGGGAGATTTCCCTTTTACTTCCTCTCAAAGAGGCATGACAGCCTTGTAGCATATACATTTTACTACAGAGAGAGTGAGGTAGAACTTAAATTACAGTCATTACAAACTCATGGTATGTGCAAAAGAAGATAAATATTGTGGCGCACAGCTTCCAAGACTTTATTAAACTACAAAATATCACACATCATAACCGCTAAAACATTTAAGAGAAAAACTTTAACTCTATGTTTCCCACAGTACAGGACCAGTGGCAGCAGAAGTACACATTGTCTTTGGTGTTTCCTGACTGTGATGCGAATCAACATGTTTATTCTAATGCCTTGCAGTCATTACTAAGGCAACACTTGGTCACCCTTGTGTCCTCTTGCAAGAGCTAGAAGAATCTGCTTGTATTATGTGTCTGGTTTGGACAAAATGTATATTTTGTGTCTATTTGTTAATAAACATGTCTGCTCTTAAGACCTGGCAGAATGTTAAGGAGGTACAGCTGAAAGTTCTAAAGTTATATCAGTCCCCAAATTGCTAGGGTGGTAATTGCAAATCCTCACTCTCCACCATGGACCTTGGCACCATTACAATTGGATCTAACTTAGAACATGATAGAGACAATGTTGGGAATGTATAGCTCGTGTACATACTATATTTATATATTTAGTACTATCAGTCCAAAATAATTTTACGTACTCTATACTTGATGTTTACTGTGTAGTAATGCATACCTTTTTTGGTTATTGTAGAATTCAAGATGGATTTATTATATTTCGTTGGTGGAAAATGTATAACCCTAAACAAAAACAACATGGTGAGTATATATTAATGTATTATGGGAATGCACTGTCCTTTTTAAAAAAGTTTGTTGGTTTTATTTAGGACATAGTAAGGCCTCCGGGTCCATATTAAGTATATATGTATTTTTTCTTTTGCACCTTGTCATATAGGCAACCTTTCTAGGTAGGTTTTCTTATATGTTAAATTACATCACAATTGGCTTTCCTTTTTACATATGTATAGTATTCACCTGTAAGTGAGATAACATATATGCACTATGTTTTTCTTGATCACTTCAAGCACAGGGCGTTAAATTAATTAACCCCTGGGCTATGCAGCTACCTTCAGGTGATTGGACACTCGCATATCATTCACAGCCCTGTATAACAGCTCCCACTCCCAGTCTGCTTCAAGTTTTTGCTAGTTTCCTTACTCTACTCTATTTTGCACTATTTTGTCCTATATATTTTCTAAAAGACTCTTGCAGCAAGTGTGGCACCTTCAGCAGATGTCTGGATCAGGTTTCTCCTCAGTAGAGCCTTGGCAAGGTCGTGCCAAGTCGACACTGGAAGTAAGATGTGGATCTGACCTGTAATGTGCACTGTCACTGGATCCTTTTGTTCAGCACCCTCCTTGGCACTTGTGTGGTTAGCCGCATTGTGTTGTACAGTTCCAGGGTCATAGTCCATCTCGATGGAACTCTGACACTGAAGGCTCCCTCTGTCTGCAACTCTGTACAGGTAGAACAAAGAAGCTTCACGCTATACAGCTGCACTGTTCTGCTATTCTCGAGACTGGATCACTGTCTGCTCGCGGTGTCTGGACACTGATCACTCTCTCACCACTGGTCGTGGGAAATGCACATGGCAGATCATAGATGAGGGGTGCGGAGACCACAAAACCTAATCACAGTTTTGACGAGGTTTCTACCCCCCTATGGTGTCCCATGGTGCTAGCATCATGGTCGTCCTCTGCTCTCCCTAAAGTACCATCCTCTGACTTTATATGTAGAGAGGAATTCACTGCCATCAAGACGAATTTTATGGGGAAAATGGTGGCTGATCTCCTTGATACGTCTGGCCAAATTGGTTGCAAACAGGCACAAGGACCAGGTAACAAGGACCAGTATTCCACCTCCTGCTCTGTTCCAGTTCTTTTGAGTCGTCTCAAGAACAGGACCTGTCTTCTGACATTTCCTTTAAGCTTAGGGACCCTGCCAACACTTGTGTACAAGACCCTTATTGCCCCTGTAGACTATGTACCTGTTTTCAAGGACCACATAGACACGAGGCTGGAAGCACTCTTTAAGGCCTGCGCCTGCCTCTTTGGCGGTATGTTAGAGCATGTTTGTATGTTCCAAGGCTTTGGCTGTGGAACCCTGGGTCTATCTTGAATGACCCAGAAGTTCTTAAATACCAGAAGCTTTTTCCTGCCCTAGGCTACTGTATGGATGGCCTGGTGCATGCTCTCGATAAACCTTTTGTCAGACCTGATCTCTAGGATGAGCCTTCTGTCTGTTCACATGAGGCAGATTCTTTGTACACGGACGTAGTTAGGCTGCTGAAGGACTCTTCCTGTGCACTTCCAGATCATCTAGACCTAGGTAACAAGGACCAATACTCCACCCTTCTTTTTGGTCGCTGTCTTTAACGGACTATTGGGTCCTAGGTCCTGAGGTACAAGGGCCTTTCGGATGCTGTCTTCTCTACTACTTAGGGCTAGAAAATCGACCTCTTACAAGGTCTGGATAGATAGAAAGTCCCTCCTCACAACGCTTCCGGCCTATACAACAGTGGTGCTCCCAGTGATGACCACGGATGGCGCCGTGCAGACACAAGGTAGAAGACAAGAATCACCAGCACTCAGTAATATCATTCAATATGTCCATTTATTTGGACAGATCGTCACATTGAAAAAAGCCAACGCTTCGGGGCCACACAGGGTCCCTTCATCAGGGCGAAAAGATGTGACGAAAGATGTCACATCTTTTCGCCCTGTGTGGCCTGAAACGTTGGCTTTTTTCATTGGGACGATCTGTCCAAATAAATGGACATATTGAATGATATTACTGAGTGCTGGTGATTGTTGTCTTCTACCTTTTACAAGGTCTGACATCGCACCACTTTTGCTGGGTGCAAAGCAAGCAGGTACTGCATGAGACCGGCACCTAAAAAACATTTCCCTTCACTGTTTGAACATGGTTCGGGTGGTCAGAGTTTACCTCTCTTCGACAACTTTTGTTCTCAAGTCTGACTGTGTTTGACTATCTCTCAGGGTTACGAGTTGAAAGGGAAAGTTTCTCCGTTTATGGTCACTGCACACTCTACTGGAAATGTTAGTGCTTCTTGAGTGGTTCTGCATCAGGCTATGGTTTTCCAAATCTGTAATACCACCTGGTCTTCGGTTCACACTTTGTCAGGTCCTACCAGCTGGACGTTCGGGACTCTTTCTTGTTCTTTGTTTCCTGTTGGGGGTGTTGTCTTTTGGGCCTGTTAGCCAATATTTTTTGTGCTGCCTGTCTCTCTGTTGGACTGCTTATGAATGTCACAGTGGTTAAAGATCGTCATTCCCTGTGTCCTGTGATGTATGATCAAGAAAACAGGATGTTTGTCTTACCTGTAACATCCATTTCTTGGAGTACATCACTGGACCCTCCCCTATGTATTCGGTGATCCACTTTGTTCTGCTTACTACAATGCTGAGGCAGGCTGGTAGTGGTTATGCATGGCAGCTTTGAATGATTTAACAGTGTCTAATCACCTGAAGGTAGTTGCATGGCCCAATAGTTTTACAGTTTAACTCTCCATGTCCTGAGATGTACTCCAAGAAACAGATTTTACAGGTAAGAGAAAAATATATTTTCATCACTACTTTCATTCATAAATACAGACTTGGACAAATTCTGATGGCACCTTTTTATGAAAAAAGAATAAATTACTTGAAACTAAATGAGGAAGAGAAGCATTGTTTCAATGAGCTGTAAGAGTACCAACAAATGGTCCCTGTCTGTATTTGGTTTCATTTTAGTTGACTATGTAAGAAAAGTAACAAATGTTTTTGAAACAAACTGATGTGAGAGATGCTTCAAAACTTTACCTGTAATATTATCTAATCTGTTGTCTTTTTTTTTCACTAGTACCTCAGCATCCCTATCAGGCTCTGCCCACCCACAGTATAAGTCCTTGGCCACTGCGCCTGTTTGTGTGACGGGTGCAGTGGCCGGACAGAGAGCTTAGCAACGCTGATCTTATCAGGCTTAGTGGTACTGAGCTGCAATGAGGACAGAGAATCTCGTATGGACACTTTGGCCTCAGTGTGCTTCTACACCGCAAATGGTGGTACTTGCTCCAAATGTACGTATTTGTTTCCAACAGGTACATAAATCTGGGGCTAGCACTGACATTTGTCATGCGAATGCACAACAGGATTCTAAAGAGTTTCATTTCCATCTTTTTTTGTTGTGTAATGCTAAGAGGTTTTATTTTTTCATGGTATACATTGCTGTGAAAAGTTCAACAGTTTTGAATATTGGAGACCAATAAATAAATACACTAAATATCTAGTTAAAATAGAGTCTTGATATAGGAATGAGGATTTGGTTAAGTTGTTCATGTTTGGTACTGTATTATGCAACAGCAGCTGTAAATCCCCAGTGTGAAGTGTTTACTTAGTGTGATTGTCTGTGGTTTTGACCTCCGTCATGGTCATGAGAAAAATTTGTCAGGGAAAAGAACAAAAGTGCTTGAGAGTAATCCTGTTATTTAGAGTACAGGGTTTAGTAAAGGATTCATTCTTATGCTGATGACGAAGCACGTCCTTCAAATCATACAAATCAATGCTGCACTTCCAGTGCGCAGCCAAGAATGCAAGAATCTTTTTTTATTATTTCAGTGACACACACACACGCAGCCAACACGCATAAATGTAATGTGCAAAATACAAAGAAAAAACCTGCATTGCACCATAGCGCAACACAGCTCAGCGCATGTAAAATCGCTCACCAGCACATGCGGCAAACTTAGCGCGCACACTGCCTTATTGCATGCGCTGTGGTATGAATGGACCCTAATTGCGTCTAAACAGACATGCAGTATTCACAAAACATGAGTAAAATTGCAATATGGGGGTGTGGCTTCTAGAAACCTGATTCTAGCATTCTGTGGGATAAAACTAAATGTGGTTACGGGTCTTAGATTGGGGAGTTTTGCAGAATTATTTGCCTGAAATTTCGTTGCCTCATACAAGCATCATTGCTGAAAACATTAAACATAATACGTTTGTAGAAATATTTGCAGTTTCTAAGTCAGGTAGGTTGCAGACTGATGTATCAAAGAAGAATTTTGCTTTCTTTTAATAAACTGGCCATAAAACCCAAATTCAGTTTCAGATGGACAATCATAGAGGTTCTGTCTAAAAGCAGCGGTATGGCTTCAGTGCGGTTATAATGCTGCTTTAAAAGAAATAAAAGAAAGAAACTTTGCACATTTAAAAAACACAGTGTTGTGCTTTGCGAATGTGCTTGCTCTGCATGTTTTAGGAGACTTTTGTGAGTTGTTGATAGATCCCTCAGAGAGAACAGTTGTCTCCACATGTTAGAGATTTTAAGGGGCTGTAAACCCTAACGATTAACTTCCCTTATTTGGTCGCTTTTGGTGTTTAAAATATAACATTGAAAGTGTTTTCTTAAATGCAAAAAAAAACTTGTTGATCCTGCCAGAAATGTTTTCTGCTGATAACATCCTGTGCTCTCTGTGCTGATCTTTATCAGTTACATTGTTCTTAGAATTCTCTGAGAACTGGAGAATCCCCTGCCTCTATGGTTTAGAGGAGAAAGAGAAGTGTTTGTTGTCCAATCCCAGAGTGACAATGCTGCTACTCCATAGATATGGTATGGTACATCAGTGTTGCCACCCTAAGATAGAGAAGGTTACAGAGAAGCCTGAAAAAAACCTAATCCATCTACCACTTCTAAGGACTGGTAAGCTGAAATATATTACATTTTTGTATATTACATTTTTGTTTCTCAGTTTGTGT